AAACCTCTGTCATTACCATATGATATCTGCACCGTTTTGCAAGGCCAAATCCTTTTTTTGTAAATTGCTGGCAATTATGTATCTTTGGCTTTTTAACTGGCGTTTCTGGCGTTTGGGTATACGTAACGTCGCACAACGAAAAAAGGCGGTTAGGAAACATGCAGCTGGGAATAGGGATAACGTTGCACAGGCAGGCGTTCGGAGACTTTATTACGTGAACACAACGTTGTACAAAGAGGCAAAAACGCGGATGAACGAGGGGAGGCTACGGTAGCACTGGTACTACGGAGGTTTACCGGCGTACTGGGTGGCGGGTATTGGGGGTACCACGTGGATTTGGATTCTGAGAGGACGAGGGTGGAGTCGTGTGTCTATAATATGACCGTAGGAGGTAGCTGTTTATATCACGTTTGCTCTGTCATTATGACAGCATACGGTTGTAGTACCCGTGGCGCTACTGATATAATGGAGTATGGTAGTAGTTCTTGGGTGTATTCCATTTCACGTTCGCACGCGCATAGGTAACATGGAATACTTACAGCGACAAAGTAGATACACTCCAGTATTCTATTCTTAACAAATGTATCTGGGGCACAAAGTAGCTTTTGCATACTAGTTGTGGAGTAATTCAGGTCACCTGGAATAGGAGAATATTGTTTTTCCGCATCAATAGGTCATGAGCTGGTATTGATTCATGCCAAGAAGTAAACCAAGCCTGTATACCTGTGTCATCATAACTTCCGTCCCCCAGTAAAAGAAAATGCTATATCCGAGGAGAATAGGACATGTTCAATCTCATCGAGATGGGTTCCAGCTGAGAAACTAGCCATCCATACCAAACAAATGCTTTGCATACTGCTCCTGCTGTTCGCGGATCACAACCATCGAATCAGCGCTGACAGGGTACCCAGGCGGACCAACCTTCTCATTTCCAGGCCCCTGTGTTCCCAGATTTTCGTTGTAGAATAAACATGTAGTGCCAAAAGGCGAGTAGCTAAGATCAGCATCCTGCGTGAACGGCACGGCAGTATAGCCCCTCGTGAGCCAATCTCTGACACCATCTGAGGACATGTCCGCGGCGAAGTCCTTGCTTGGATCTCTGGCCTTGTTGTCAATATCGCCTGGCGCGCAGATGATGGCTTGCGGTTTAGTCTTCCCTGGACGCTCTGCGAGTAGCTGCCTGACAGGATTATCGGGCTTGAAGCAGAAGACGAAGGTGTTTGGGAGATCGACTGATATTAGCAAATGAGCGAGAGGTGCATGGAGAAAACGGACGTTGTAAGTGTTTGTTCGGCCGTGGACGTGTACAGGACCTATTCGGTTGAAGAAAGCTTCCAGGTAGCTGATGTCGGATTGCGTGTGTTGCGAATGGTCGACCACAATTTCGTATTCCCATAGTTGTCCGCGTTCGTCGTAGTTGTGGTACTTGGTGGCATGCTTTGTGATGTAGCGTTTGATCAGCTGTCTTGCCAGTGTGTACTGAACCAATCCCCAGTGCGACTTAAGCCCCTGGTTAGCGTAGATGGGCCCCATTCCCAGTAGCAGAAATTTGCATATAGGTTGCTTGGCCTCAACAAGAATGTCGAACAACGGCTCGATTGTTGCCTGGAAGTCTCTCATGGCACTCTGTGTGATAGCTTGGGCGATTTTGTATCCTTCCATTAGTTCTTGCTCCATTAGTCGTGCTCCCTCTGGATATGTGACATGGCGAATCTTTGGAGCTGTCAGGTTGTTGGTGTTTTCGAACCTTGCGTGCGGATGTGTGTGTCCAATCTCGATCAACCGGTACTCGCTGAAACGTGGCTCGGTTTTGAGTGTTGCACCAGCAGTGCTAAACATGTTGGATGATAGTTGAGAAGCAGAGGGTCGTAGCTATATTGTCGTAGCAATGGTTGCTTGCCACTGGTGTTAGTGTTGCTATTGTCATCATTGCAGTTGTTGTTGCCATTATGATCATCATTGTTGCTTCCATTAATTCTGTCGTTTGCTATTGCCGCTGCTATTGTGGCCGTTGTATTGTTGTGTCGTGACAGGCAGTATCGTATGTGAAGCTGACTCCAACTCTGTTTCGGTGACTATGGAGACCGTTCATGGATGTCTTAACAATAAGCACAGAGCCATATCCAACATCCCTTGTACAGACTGACCCCGAAAACCCCTAGATAATACCTTCTAATGTATCATAAACCTACAGTTCCTGTAATGTGCATTATAAATATCATCGAAGTCGATTAAGACAACGGCGATCTGAGGCACACGTATCCTACAGAACCTATTATCAATCTACTGCCGTGTCTGCAAAAAGTATTAGTATGCTCCAATAGCTCTGATGGACACGCAAGAGGGGCGTGCGAAAACATGGAGGATAGATTGAGTATGCGGTGGCGTTGATGGTGACGGAAGGTGTGCAAATGGCGCAGCGCATATCTCGAAGCTAGTGCACATTTCGCAACTTCGCGGCATTTTATATACCAAAAAGTCAGTTTGCAATAGGTGATGTTGTGGTCGTCAAAGCGGACTACCACACAGAAGGTGAGACCGACTGAACGAGAGCTTACGTAAGCTCGCTTCCCGCCAAACCTCCACACTTTCTCCCATCGTGAGATAGTCACAACTATTTTTCCTAGAAGCAAAAAAATCCTCAAAAACATATAACAGCGGGTATTCGCTAGTGGTCACCCACCTAACTACTAATCCGCCGGTACACCGCTTAAGTACCGCTGAGCGAACGGGAAGCGCTGTATTCGGTGTCCTGTGGTCGTATGTGAAAATTTGATAATTACAAAGATACTTGATGTCATACTTTTCGACTCCCATGTGGGGTATTGACAGATAGCGTCAAGTAAGTACATTAGATCTTGCATATGTGCCACGTTCTTCATGGGTTCGTAGTGTCTTTCATTATGTCATGATTCATCGTGTCTATGTCAGAGGAGGTCTACATCTCGGGACTGTAAGTCTGCGCTTTGAAGATTTTGGTCTACACGAAAGGACATCTAAGTCCAAACCTACAAGCTACAAGTCTGCACTAGTGAGAACAATAGTATACACCAAACAGGATATCTTGCTAGGAGTACTAGGAATGAACCCCTATGTAGTCTTCAGACTTTCAGGCGGGTACATCACTGGTCATCTCCCTAGCTTAGAGGAAATCCTTAAACCTTCGATCCGCTCAGGATCTTCGGTGGGAATGCCGCCACGACATCAAACATCCTGGTGCCTCCTACCGTGGGGATAGAGTCAGGTAAGGGCTTGTAACCTCTAGGATGCTGGCGCAACAGGTTTCGATGGTTGACATAAGGCTGCGGCATGCTAGGGGCAGTACTAGTAGCATCACGAAGGCCTTAGCTATTGTTAGGCCATACGTATGGCGAAGCGCCTATAGCATTTAAGAGAAATTACAGTTGTGATATAACTGTACAAACTAAAGCGCGTCCTAGAAAAGTTGATTTCCTGAACAATCTAACTATCTTGACTTCCTCGGCCACATTGACTTCTAGGACCGGGCGTTGAGCGACGAGAAGACTGCTAATTGGGGTAGTATTTCAACGAGGGTGCTCGACGGTTCATCTTGAGCTAGCTGCTTGATGGTGTTATGATGGTGAGGTAGCGCAGAAATTTTGGGGTGTATTGTGCAGTTGAAGTGTACCTAGGTATGTACTACCAAGGCGGTAGTCACTTGCCCATGTACCTATGTACCCATGTGGCCAAGACTGTGCTAATTAGCTGTCAGGGAAAGAGAAACGATAGTGAGCGAGGTATGGCTAAGCCTGGCATATCTTCCTGTTATTTCGCCTCGTTTCCCTTTATCATGAACAGGCATTCGGGAGCAAGGACAGTGCGACAGCTGTTTCGTTTTAGTCTCAAATATTCTCATGTTATTGATTCGTTAGATCCTCATATTCTCACATCTACAAGCACATACAAGGCTTTATTACTCTCTCTCTGTGTTCTTATCGACCGGGGGTTAAAGCCACCCCGTCGAAGTTGAGGTGTCTACAAAACAAACCAAGATTCCGAAGTGATCAAAATTTGCGTAACACCACCCTACGTAACATCCTTAGCTCATTCAATCGTTCTCTTAGAGGGAATAGAGTAGCTGAGACCTTTAACAGTAATACTATGTATTTCATGGTAACAATAATCATGTGGTGGGGGAGTCCTAGTATTAGGCGCGATGTCCATGTAGAAGTGCTGCATCTGAGCTCTCCATACGAACGGAAAGGGAGGAGTGCGAGGCGGTTCATGGGGGGATGAAGGGGTTTGAGGACTGGATTGACATGGAGAGTGCGTGGAAGAAAGTGTGATTCTAGGGATGCGTGAATATGGAAGCTTAGGAAAAATTAGGTAAATCATAATAAACAGTGTAGAAAGGATTTACTGTAAACTTTCCAGCGGTGAATCAATCTCACAGCTTCGACCACTCCCTCCCAGCTATCCTCAGCCCTTCTTCTCCATCCACAAGTACACACCACCCCTCTCCTCCTCTTCCTCCATCACCTGCAATCGCTGCTCGGAAGTTGTTCTTGGCATATTCCAACACCTCTCTATCGAAACTGCCAGGTTGCAGCCAAACAGCCACGATCCCCGCTTCTTTCGCCTCTTTGAGCAATGTCTTCGTCACATATGGGGGCGTGATGACGGATAGAGAGTAACTTGATGCCGGGGGATCTTGGAGAGCGGTTGGAGAGGGTATCGTGGTATAGTCGCGGTTCATGATGTTGACGGTGGGGGAACCGGGGTTTATAGGGGTTGCGGGGAGGGTGTGGGGCGAGGTACCACGCGAATACTGTAAAGCAGCGTCAGTAGCTGCTCTAGAGAAGAATAAAACACTTAGAACTAGAAAACAGGATGGCGAGCGTACTCTTGTGGCCGAATTTAGTAGGATCGGAAGATGCGCCAGCGACGGCGAAGCGCGGGCTCAAAAAGAACGTTTTCAATGCTGCTTCCATTTCTGCATCGCGCTTTTGAGCACGCGTCGTCGGCATCGAATCTTACGTATAGGAATAATGCTTTTCCAGATTACGTATAGTAGATACTTTAACGTAAGGTCTTCAAAGGCGGTGAAGAAACTCGGGAAATCTATTGTGTGATGATTGGAGAAGTTGAAGTACTATCCTGTACATCCTATCTATCCTGATATCGGGATGCCCGTAACAGTCTGTTATACCTTCCTGTGCTGCCATCCCGGATGGCTAGGCTTAGCAGGATGTCAAGTTACGTAATCCGTGCCCCGCACTAACGTGTCCGTGCACCTTGTGCACGGATTCATCTCATGCCCCGTGAACACCATCTTAACGATCTCAAATTTGCAGCTGTACAACACCACATAACGTGTTTTATGAGCGCATCGGTCATACAAGCGAGTCGGTCATACAAGCGAGTCGGTCACCCCACCAACTTTGATCACCTACTCTATCTCAACACACAATGCCTCCACGCCGCACTCCTCTCGTGCATTTAAATGAAGCAGATATTCAGCTTGCTCTCTTATCTATAGATTCTGCCCAAATTCAGAGTACGCAACGCGCTGCTACAGTCTTTAATATCCTAAAATTAACCCTAATTAACTAGCGCGCTAGAAAGCGCGCGACGCGATTGCTAGCCTAACTTAAGGAAGCTTACCTAGAGAGAAGAGGAGGTAATTATTAGCTATATACTTCACCTAGATTAGCGTAGATTTGCGCCTACCGACGCAGCTATACGTAATATAGCTAATAAGCTACTAGCTACGCGCGGCGATAGCTAGGTTAGCATTGAAAGAGGCCGGCCCTGAGGGCAATTGCCAGAAAGAATTAGATGAATTCGTTGACCTAAGATCTATGGAGGGCTATCCGGCTATATAGTTTCTTTAGATAGATATCTTTACTAGTAACCGATTTGTCGGGCGGGTCCTTCGTCCGGTATCAGCAGGTTCTAATGTTCTAGTCTCTAAGGCTTCTAGCTAAATCTTATCTAACTAGGCCTAGCCTGTTATATTACCCCCCCGCTGCCCCTCTATATTTTGTTCGAGCTCTCGGTCCCTCTATTACTATCCCCGCTATAACACACGATCCTTTACCTTACTGCAATCGTTGTTTCTCCGCCTGTGCCTTCTTCGCTTTACCGTGTCCGTGCGCGCAATGCGCGGATTCGCGTAATGCGCGGGGTCAACCACAAATTACTTTCACCTCAACCACCCACAGCGCCACCAATATGGATCCGATTGAAGCTGCGATTGCAGCAATCAACGCGCACGGACCTAGTGAAGGATTCTCGTATACAAAAATTGCAAAAGAGTTTGGAGTTGTGAGATCTACGTTGATCAGAAGGCATAAGGAGCTTACGCAACCCCGCTCCGACGCACATCGAAAACTCCATCCAGATCAAGAAAAGGAGATAGTACAGTATATGCAGGGGCTTACTGCGAAGCGTTTGCCACCTACAAGAGCTATTATACGCTCCGTAGCATCCTCCGTTGCCGGCACTAACGTCAGCGAGAGCTAGGTGAATAGATTTCTTAAAAGAAACTCCAATCATCTTATCTCAAATTAGACTAGGGGCATAGATCGGGCACGCCACAGAGCTAATTCAGGAGTCAAATATAAGCTGTACTTTGACCTGTTACTCAAGAAAATCGAGGAGTATAAGATTAGGCTAGGGGACATCTACAACATAGACGAAGAGGTTTCTCATAGGCGTCACCGGCAGATCAAAACGAGTATTCAGCAGGCGTATGTGGGAGAAAAAGGAGGTTACTACAGGGGTTCAGGACGGATCTCGCGAGTGGATTTCGATCCTAGCTTATATTTGCGCTGATGGATTAGTTTTGCCGCCTAGCATTATCTATTAAGGTGGCTCAGGAGACCTCTAATTGGACTGGGTAGACGACGTTGCCTAATCAGCTCATCTAGTATTTATTAGCTTATCTAAATCTAGAAGGTTGAACAATAAGATAGGGCTTGCCTAGCTTAAGGAAGTGTTTAAGCTAGCTATAAGGTCCAAAACGCTCTATTTACATCGATTACTTATTATAGATAGGCACAGATCTTATATAAGTCAGGAGTTTTTAGACTATTGCAATAAGAACAGGATTCTCCTAACTATCTTTCCTTTTTATTTAACCTATACCCTCTAGCCCCTAGATATTGCGATGTTCAGGCCTCTATTAGCTGCCTATACAAATAAGCTAATTACCTTTACCTACACCACCTAGGGCTTCTCTAAAATAAGAAAAGGAGACTTCTTCCACCTTTTTTAGCCCGCCTAGATATCTACTTTTAGGCCTAAGCTTATTAAAAAGGCCTTCACCGCTACTGGCATCTAGCCACCCAATCTAGCTCGTGCACTTAAAAGATTCACCTATACTACCCCTAAGGTAGTAGATAAGGACGAGGAGTTAACGGAGCCTATCGACGGGTTAGATTGGCGCAGGATCTATTCACTAGTCGTCAAAGTAGCTAAGGGTAAAAGGAGGAGTAGGGAGGTAAAAAGACTCCGGAGAACCATCCATCATCTCGCCACCCAAAATACGCTCCTTCACAAGGAGGTAAGGGGTCTCCTAGATAGGTTGAGTAGAAGGGCTTACTAGCAAAAAAGCTACCCCTTGAAACTCTAAAAAAACAAGGATAACTATCATAGGGTAGCTATTTTCTGGTCGCCAAGGAAGATCCGGGAGGCTAAGGAGCGTAGGATCTAAATAGAATAACTAAGAGATTAGGAGACACTCTAAAAAGCTAAGATGAAAGAGTTAAGAGACTAGGCAAGGTTATACAAGCTTCGATTAGCTCAGGAGAAGCGTGCCGAACGAGAGGCAGCCAGGGAGAGGAGGATGAAGGAGAAGGCCGAGAAGGAGGCTGAACGCGCCCGCAAAAAGGCCGATCGCGACTCCAAAAAAGCTATCCAACAGTCCCAAAACGGTAAGCGTAAGACTTCAATAAGCTCTAGTAATCGCAATAAGCGTCAAAAACGTGTTGCGGATACTGCAGCTGTTGAAGAGGCCTTAGGAGCTGCACTAGCCCTACCACTAAAAGTGAGCCGCTGCGGCCGGAACATCAGATTGCCGAGCAAATATAAGTAGCGCAAAGTAATTAGGGGCATCAAAATACTACTACTCTGTGAAATCTCGCGATAATAGCTTTTGTGTGGTGATCTATAGCCTCATTTTTGGATTTGAGATGGTGTTGTTGGGCGGCGCATTACGCGAATCCGCGCATTGCGCGCACGGACACGGTATTATCGCTGCTTCCGTCGCACAACTTCACTATAGCTAGCCCTCCGAACTCTGTCAAGAAGCGCAAGAACGCCCGCGTTATTAACGACGACGACAATTTTAACTTCGCGTCTCCGCCGTCCTCTAAGCGACAGCAGCGCGCGTCTATAGCGCCGCTTTCGCCTGCTCCTGTTGTAAGTGTAGCTCTATTTATCTTATTTTAGTGTCCTTATTAACTACTAAAAATGCTCGCTTTTAAGCCGTCGTTGTTAAAGTTGGACGTGTCTGCCGCTAAAGCTATCCTCTTAAGTAATAAGTACAGCATTACTACTACTAAGAAGCCTATAGATCCCCTATTATGTGCCTATTACTATCTTAATAGAGTTAATTACGCTAGCTTAAGCCTAGAGGACAGGACTTACTACACCTATAAGGCGAATAAGGTCGCTTATATTACTATAAGTTCTATAATCTCTGCTTCCTCTACCTCTACTGACTCCTAGAGTAGCTACTAGTTCTTATAAAGTAGGCGATCCTAATAGTCCGCCTTCTAAAGGACTTCGAGGTCACCTCTAAGCGCATAGTTATCGCTTCGCTAGGCTCTACTACTTAGGTCTATCTCCGCGCTTAGCTTATTACCTACACGAAGCTTCTAGCTGAGGAGCGCAGCTATAGTAGATATTAAGACTTCTCTAGTAACGTTAACTTAAATAAAGCTAGCATAATAGTAGCTATTATAAGCAACACCGCTATAATAGTTAAGGCCCTAGGGACTCTTAACGAGCAGGTTAATAAGGCTGTTATCTAGATTAGGTGTCTCGTAGGTTATTCCCTTATCTCCTTTAGTCTCTCTTTTTAGCTAACTAGTATATAGAACTACGCTATTATTTAGGTTCGTGTTGCTATTATTAACAAGATCCGCGCGATCTAGTACACCGTCGAGAACTTCGCGGCTACTTAGGAAGTTCTAGTAGCTAATAAGGTGCTTACTTCTTTCTTTAATAGTACTAAGCAACGTGCGTAGGCTACTAAGTATCGTAAGGAGGTCCTGCGTCATCTAGGTCGTGCCGTTAATAAGGATAGTAATGCGAAGTAATTATCTATTATCTCTTTACTTATTCTCTAGCGTTCTCTTAGTAGTCTAGCTTATATTCTAGCATCTTTAGGTAGTCTTCTAAAATAACCTTATAGCTCTTTATTACTTCTTTAATAACTTATTCCTTTCTAACATTTCAATTTTATTTTATAAGTGTCTTCTAGTTATATATGGCATACTCTATTATCTCCTAAGGGATAGCACTCTGTTCCTTATAATCTTCTCCCTTTCCTTACCTCTTCTTATTATCTCCTCTGCTATTACTACCTCTTCCTTTGCTCTTCTCTCTCTTCTTCGTTGCTTCCTTATAATCCCCTAGGGGATCTACGCCTTCCTTCCTTTCTCTAGTTATGTCAGATAATAGCACTGTTGAAGATGAGAGCGTACAGACGCTGGGTTAGACTAGCGCGACCCGGCATCTGAGAGAGCCAATCGGATCACAGGAAGGCTTGGCACCCCCTAGGTGTGCCCACAACCGTAGACAGAACCAACACACAATCAATCATCAATATCATCACCATTTTTACCTATTTCATCAGTATTCCAGACGAGAGTGAATATCTGACAAGTTAGCTCTCCGCTAAGCACTTAAGCGTAGTTTGCTAGGTTCGCCTCTCTAAAAGTTACTAGGTAGATAGCTTTACTTATTTCTATAGGGTTTAGAG